CTCCGGCGCTTCCAAACTCAGCATCCTGGGTGGGCTGCGGAGGAAGACCCCTTTGCTCAAAGGCCCAAAGATATGGAGGTGTCTTGGGGACGAATCTCCTTTGATGATGGCTCTAGCTCTGGCTCTTCTTCCTCCTCCAATTGATGCCCCCATTGTCTTTTTTTTTTTTGTTCGGAGCCTTAGGCTCGGGTCATAGTCTACATAGTAATGAGAATTTTTTTTGCTTCCAACATTGTGTGTTTGTTCTTCCGACCGAGCGATGCTTCAGGGATAAAATTTTTTCAAGTTGCTGACATGCCAAGTTTGGGGTAAGGTTTTGCCTTCTAGTTGCCAACCAGTAGATGCCTTCTCAGACCTTTTTGTGTTATTCGGTAGGGACCCTCCCATTAAGGTGCCAATTTCCCTCAAGAGAGGGTTGGGTCACTCACCTTCGCTTTCCATAGGACTAGCTATCCGGCCTCGATTAGTCATGGTCGGACTCGCTGATTATAAAGTTTGGCGATCATATGTTTATACATGAGTGCACGGAGGTGCGCCTTGGCCCTTAGCTCCTCAACTAAGTCCAATCGAGCCCATAACCCCTCACTTGAAGTGACTTCATCAAACGCCTCGAGCCCATAACCCCTCACTTGAAGTGACTTCATCAAACGCCTCTGTCCGAGGGGTTGGGAAGACAACTTCAGGTAGGAGGACTACCTAAGTTCCGTAGGCCAGGCTGAAAGGGGACTCCCCGGTTCCTGCTTTAGGGGTGGTCTGTGAAGCCCAAAGGATGTCGGGGAGCTCATCGGCTCATGATCCTTTAGCACTGATAACTCATCTCTTCAGTTCTTTGAGGATGGATCTGTTGGTTACCTCGGCTAGCCCATTGGTATAGATGTGTGCCACTGAGCTAAACTTCAACTGGATCCCATAGGACTAGCAGAATTCTTTGAATCTCAAATTGTTAAACCGCACCTCATTGTCTATAATGAGGGCTTTTGGGATCCCATACCGAGTGATAATATTCCTTCACACGAACCCTTCCACCCGCCTTTCGCAGATTGAGGCGAGGGCTTCGGCTTCAACCCACTTAGTGAAGTAGTACACTCCGATGATGAGAAATTGGCATTGGCAAGATACATGGGGAAAGGGGCCTAAGAGGCCCATTCCACATTGCACAAATGGCTATGCCATGTCGATGGGGCTCAGTGGACTATGGGTTGGTGTTGGATTCGTGAGTGCCTTTAGCATTCTGAGCACCTTTATACGTAGGTCACATCATCTTTTTGCATATTGGGCCAGTAGTACCCTAGTTAGAGCACTTTAAAGGCTAGGGTATGTCCCCCGATATGTTCCCCACATATTCCTTCGTGCACCTCAACCAAAACTCTATTGGACTCTTTAAAAAATAGGCATCGTAGGAGGGGTTGGCTATATGTTCGTCAATACAATCGCCCATTCAGGACACGGTATCGAGCCTGGATATGTCATAGCCTTCACGTCATGACGGGGTCATCGGGTAGTGCCCCTTCTTGTTGGTAACGTAGGATTTCGTCCATCCAGCTGTTTTTCGTCTCCGAGTTACCTATGTCATTCTTTTCAATGATTTTGGTTGTTAAGGTATGCACCATTGGGCAATTTCTTGTGCTAGGTTGTGCATAAGTTGTTAGGATCGTAAAGACACTAAGGAGAGGTGGGGTGGTGAATTAGTGCTTTCAAAATAAAATTCCAATTTGAAAGTTTGATCAATAAATCCGTATCGAAAATGCGTTTAACCTAGAATGTGAGGAAGCGTAGTGAGCAACTAAATCAGTTAGTAATAGTAAGAAAAGTATAAAGAGAAATACAAACTGATTTATAGTGGTTTGGTTATCCTGACCTACATCCACTCTCGATTCCTTTTTCCTCGAGGCTAAATCATGGTTCGGTTGTCCTAACCTACGTCCACTCTCGATTCCTCTTCCCTCGAGGCTATCGACTTTTACTACTGATCTTTTTTTCAATGGGCGAAGATCAACTACCCTTATTACAACCCTTTCTCCTTTTCACAAGCTTAGGAGATAACCTTTGCACCTCTCTTTTATAAAAAACCTCACACCTCCTTAGTATATTCTTTAAACTCAAGGAGGAAGAGACTCGACACTTTTCAAGAGAGTTTATAACACTTTTATCCTCGAGAATTCTTACTCCTTTCTTGCTTCATCAAGCAAGCATGAGTGGGGTATTTATAGACTCCAAATGGCTTAAAAAATGAAGCCAAAAATTTAAATCCCCAGGTTTCCAAGGTACTGGCGGTACTACCACCTACGCTGGGTGGTACTATCGCCTGACAAAACATGGGAACTTGGGCTCTGGCAGTACCATCTCTTGCTTGGGTAAGTACTATCGCTTGCCTGAGAGGTACTATCACCTGACAACCTGGGAACTCGGGCTCTAACAGTACCACCGCTTGGGCCTGGCGGTACCACCACCCAGCGCAACCCCAGGACACTGAATTGGCCTTTCAACAGGCTCAATTTAGCCCTAGTTCAGGCCCAATAGACTCATAATCAAGTTGGCATGGTTGCATCCATAAACTAACTCAATTAAACTCTAAACAACTTCGATTAAGACTCAACAACTCTAATTATAATCATGAAGCCTTCAGCACGTTGTTTGACATGTCATCTGTTCATCTGGTATTTCGTCCAAACCTCTGGCGCATCGTCCTTTCCTTTGGCATGTTGACCTCCTGCAATATCCGATCTTCTTTGTGCAATACCTGATCCTTCTGGCCCGATGCCTGAACTCATGGCATGAAGTCCATCCTTCGGTACGTCGACCAATCCTCTGGCCCGACGTCCAATCTCTAACATGATGTTCTCTAGCCTAACGTATGCTTCTCCTGCTTCAATGATTTGTCTTTCGATAGTTCAAGTTCATGATTGAAGTTTCTCCTATGTCACTTATCTCAAACGTTTATTAGTCTATAAACTTATCAATTGATTTTAATCATCAAAATCTGGGATCCAACAAAAGCTAACTTGGCCAGAATATCCGCGTGTGTGTTACTTGTTCGGGGAACTCTTTGTATGACGAACCGATGGAAGCGAGTGGCGAGTTGGCATACCGCTACCAGAATGTTCGAGGTATGTCTCGATCTGGATGATCTAGTCTGGATGCGCATCATTGAGGGGAACCTCGATCAATTACTCAATGGCCTCATGGCAGGGGGTGAATCTGTTAGGGTCCCTTGGATCCATCGGGGGCTCCCCGGATCCCGCGCCTTGAGGTGTAGTGGCGAGGCAACATTGTCCTGATCCCTAAGGATCTCCTCTTACTTTGTCGATTTCCCCTCGGGTGGGGAACTTGATCGCCGAGTGGTATGTCGATACCAACGCTTTTAAACGGTTGAGGGTGAGCCAACTAATAATTGCATTATAGGTCGAAGAAGTACAAACTATGATGAACTCGATTGGTAGGGTCTTGTCTTGGGGCTCCTCCCCAAAGGTAGCATGGATAGTTACTGTCTCAAGAGGGGAAACGAGATTCCCGTGAACCTGGTAAGGGAGGTTGTCATTGGGCATAGGTCATTCCTGGTCAATCTGAGCTTCTGAAAGGCATCGACAAATAGCACGTCGATGGCAATTCCAGTGTTGACCATGACTCTCTTCACCAAGTAGATGATATCCGTACCAAAATGGACAGCAAGTTGTCCCGAGTGTTGTCATTGGCTTCTTTGTCCTAGAAGGAGATCAAGGGTTCCCCTTCCATCCTCATACATTTTCCCTCGGACATAGTGTGCGTCGAGGTGCCTTCTTCTTCTATGGTGGGTTTCCTGAGAATGATATTGATCTGCCTTTCCGACACATCGAACTCTCGGAGGGGAGGGACCCCATCGGGGGAGCGCTTGTTGCGGGGAGTCATAGAAGAATATTCTTATGACACTCCCATCTTTTTAGCGCTAAAATGTTAACACAAAAGAGACCGTCGTAGTGGGTTGGCTTGATTGGTTCTTTGCCGAAAGCGCAGGTCCCTTCTGATCACTCTTCCTAACCGATGTGGAGAGTTGGTGCTGACGAAGAAAGCTACAAGGAGAGGCACCACGCTAAGAGTGGCTCAGTCTTCGGGCGACGAAGCTTGGTTTGAGAGCTGGGTGATCTCCTCCATCGGGTAGTTTCCTAGTCGTACTTCCGGACTTTGTCGATGACCCTACATAGTAAGACTTCACCGATGGCATCTAGGCTCGACCCCTCTAATGCTTAAGTCAAGAAAGCAGAGGGGGAGGAAGACAAGGGTATCAATAATGAATTAAGAGAGTAAAGAGTCTCTTCTACCTGTCTGCCCCGACTTGGCCCAAGGCATGGCTTTTATACTTGGGTGTTGAGTGGAGCGAACAAGCTTTCGTAAGACTCTCCTTATCCGGTGTGGTGAAAACATTTAATGCGAGCAACATTAGCACATGCTCCCAGGGGCAACATTTGGGATTGTCACGATGACACCTCCGTCGAGTTTCCTTGCTTCTTCGGGCCAAGCAAAATGTAGTCCCCTCATCGTTCATTCAACTGGTGAAGCTAAGCCATGCCATCAACCATTAATGCATAGCCAGGTTTAATTACCCAACTGCAGGATGGTGAAGAGTGACTCCTGCGATCTCACTTCGAAAAATCAAGATAGATGATGCGACATCTCGTCGGTGGTCTTAAAGGCATAGGTGGCTTACGCTTAGATGTTGCTTACATGATGAGAGGAGCTAGGAGGTGCTAAGGTTCATCCCTGTCAACACTAATATGGAAAAACCTTCCATGTGAAGGAAAAATCAGGAGTAAAGTCAAATAAAATACATTCAGTCGTCCTGAGATCGTATAAAGGATATCTTAGTATCATAAAGTCGTGGCAGAGTACTTCACATTACATGCATTACTCCAATTTGTATAACCAGCATTTTGCACATACTTATGCAGATTGATGCAATAGATCACTGCTTGCAGGCACACAAATCTTGGTGATGGCTTTTGAAAGTTGAGCAAGTGGAGCAGTCATAATAATATGAGAGAAATTCATGGCCAACAAGAAAGTATTAAGCACACGTATTTCGACAGACCAAAACAGTTCTCTACAATGACTAAAGTCCATAAAGGAAAATTGTATAATGCCAACACCGCTAGAGGCATTATGTAAAAGCCTTATGAATCAGTACAATAAGAACTCGATCACAAAGGAATTTAGTCTTGGCATTTATAACTGGTACACAGAAAGCTCTTAAAACAAAAAGAATCAAGTGAGCAAGCGAAAGAAGAGAATCACCCCTCCAATCTGCTACAAGGCTAACGTGAGATGTCATGGCAGAGTGCTTAAATCTGAACAAGAACAAAGATACTCAAAATTTTTGCAAGAGATTAAGTGAACATAACTGTTGTCATAACAGTCATGCTATGTATATCAGCTTCAACGCCTCCAGAAACGGCCATGCTGTTTCTGATCTTGCATCCTCCTGCAAGACAGTTAATCAGTGTCTCCAAATGCTACGGACCCAGCAATTTGAGTAATATAGAATTATAGAGCACATTTGACATCAAACCTAGTCATGTTTATCACTTGAATCATTTACAACCATATGGCTTATGTTCTACCAACTACCAAGTATTACCGATCAAAGATTGACAATCTTTTTAACCAGTTCTCAACCTACATCAGTCAAATCATCAACTTGCTGAGACTTTTCATGGATGCCTCATGCAAACTACAAGACCAATTATGACTAGACTGACTAGCATATCATTCATTATACAAGCAAGCAATATTTGTTATGGCACCTTACCAGATTGACTTTTGGAACATAGGAATATGCTTCACCCTATTGGGAATAAACCATCAAAGAAAATTCAAATTTCTTAAATCAAATACTCTTAATTCAACCAAACATGTACATGAATTAACAAGCAGCATTAGGTATTAGATACTTAAACAATAAACATGATTAGGAAAAAGATAACTCACAAGTATCATAATCATCAAATTGGCTTCTTGGTCAATCGATTCAAGACTATTACACAGTTTGCTGTCTAGATCAAGTGCAAATGTAATGCAGCACTTACCTCTGATGTTCCTTGGAGCGTTCAATAAATTCGCTAGCTATATCATGGCCATGATAAGATGCAAGCACAGGTCTTATATCAGCAGGTCTATGAACAGCCACATCTGCAGCAAAAATTTTCAATTGCAGAATTCAATCAAAGTCAAGGCAGCAACAATGCAACATGACAAAAGAAAACATCTTCCAGCATGGAATCATACAATTATACAGTAACTTACATTCAAGAAATGGAATAAGATCTAGAAGTGCGGTGTCATCATTTTCTAGCGTCCAGGGCTTAATAGGTACACAATTCTCGGGCTGAAGGCTAGATTCTAGAGCATGCCCACTGATATAAAGTATCCGTGAAGGATCTCTATTCAGCTTTGATAGGTCCTGCAAATTCCAGTGAAAGAAGCAGAGATGAATAATTTTAACAACTACAAACAATATTATGTCAGCAATACCAATAGCCGTGTCACATAGAAAACCTTGGTTTACAAATCCTCTAATGACCATCTGTAGCTGCTACCAATAGTTGATCTACAGGGTTGGTTTTCAGTGCTCATTAAACCTTGTATTTCTAAGTAAATCAATAATACACTTTGACACCTTAAGTTTGTAAAAATGGAAAATCCTTATGCTCCTTCAATGCCTCTGTCAAATCTTCATTGTCCATGTAGCCACTTATCTGTCAGACTCATCTGTCGACAACAAAGGAAGGTTCGATCCGCTACGTCTACAACAAAGGCAGCGACAGAAAGCGTTGACGACAGACGCAGAAGTAGCGCTAGGGTTCCTTAGGGTCGCGCAAGCGTGAAGCGTGGCTTTTGAGGTAAGAAACTACGAACCGAACCAACCTTAAACCGGTTCGGTTCACCTAATTGAATCGAGCGCTCGCCCAAGGCGCCCAATGACTGCATTCGGGCGAGCGCCTAAGCAGCGCCTCATTGAAGCGCGTCGCCTGGTGCACACACGAGGCGCTCGGGCCTCGCCTCGCCTCGCCTGAGCGCCTATTTAAATCATTGTCTTAGATCACTATGAAACTAAAGCAGTCACTTAAAAGTCATGAGCAAAAGAACTAGAGCCCTCAACATAATATTGTGTTGCTTGTTTACTGCTTGAGATACTTTTAGCCTAAGAAATCTTGATTATACCATTCACATATTATAATAAGTCAACCAAATATAATAACAGTTTAGTAATATGCCAAAATAGGTAACAACTGATACTGAAAAAATGAATACCCGATAATGCTTTCCATTCACATATTTTGTTGCAGCTCTTGACAGTCTATAACGAATGCAACCTTTCTGATCCAGCCTTTCTAGTACAGGATCAACATACTGCAAACATATTATCAGCCACTTATTAGAATGGGCACCAGTAATCTCCAATTATAAAAAGTAAATTAAGCCAATTTACCATACTCAGTTGATCTGAGTACACGACAATTTCATAAAACTTAGCAAGATGTTCCAAGAAGGCATCAACTCCAGGTCTTTTAAATGTTCTCCAACCTCTGTCACGCTTCCAATTAGAAAAGCATTATAATGTCAGACAAACTGTAAAATCCGTAGAGACAAAAACAGTCATTGTGCATAATGCATGATAGATCATTTTCATCGAGATATTTAGCTAGTTATATAGTTTTCTTCAAGAAATCTGGTGCTAAAAAGATTATAGCTTTTGACCGAGTGATGTATCAATAGCAGCTAGCAGTCAGACCAATTCAAGATCCCAAGCTTCAAAATATGACCATGTTAGTTATATACCATAGATAATGGTACCTAGTGGAACGAGATGCAACTAACTCAAAATGGGCAGCACATTCACATTCAAGGACTTGTAAAATATTGTTTTAAAAACATTTGAAACAAAGCTAGAATAACCTGACAGATGATAAAGAGGAGATGTAACAAGGAAAGAATGAAATACTCAAACAAAGTGAAATAACAGAAGGAAAACTGCCCATGCAAAGAATTAAATCGTATTTACTGGTCTAACCAACTATCAATATCGAGGACAAAGAGAGAAATAACAGAAAGATTTTTTTCATGCAAAGACTTTTCAGTACTGCAAGTCAAGGTTTTAAATGCTAGTTAGACCAGTATGTATCGACTGATATTTACTGGTCCAACCAAGTATGGATAGAGTAAAATAACAGAACGAAGATTGTTCATGCAACGAACTGGTTAGTATATAAATCGAGGTTTAAAAGGTGACCACGGTTCATTCCTTCCTGCAGGAATACAAGAAAGCAAAGAAGGATGAAAGGTCTTTAGTAAGGGGCGAGGCCCATTGCATTAAAAAAATTACCATCAAAGTTGAGACAATGTAGTAGTTAGTGCATTATTGCATAATTGATAGGTCTGTTGTATAGGTCTTTAAGTTCAAGTACATGTGTGAGCGTCTTGCATGCCATTTAATTTAATACAAAAAAATTATTATTTTTTAAAATGAGAAGATAAGTCAATAACAAAAGCATTAGGACCCAATATTTAAAGGATGAGAGAAGGCCTATGGCTTAAACACAGTTCATACATGCATTTAGGGAATCATTCAGGATGCACGCATACCATGAAGAAGGATATGGAGTATGGAATGTCCCTCCTAACTAAAAATACCACCAATACAAATTCTTGAAGAATCCAATCAACTTCAAAACCTTACTAAAACGAATATTGTCCACTGAGAGGTGGTTCAGTCATTCTTTGCTTGATGTCCACAAAGGCTCTACTAGGTGTCTGAATCCAATGAAGTACTTCTCTTTCAAGGAATCAGTGATAGAAGCCATACTAAGAATAAAACCTCAGAGAACCTCTTACACAAAGAAGCTATCATGCGGAAACTACAAAAACCAGAAATGATTTGGCTCTAGCCATTCCCTAATAACTTTATTCTTTTCAGGGTCTGCAGCTATACCCTGGAAAAGACAATGAAACCACTGAATGGGACTTTGCAGTGCATACCAAAACACTTTCTAAATACAGTTCAGCTTCTCTAATGCTTCCAAAATCCTGATAAATGCCTTGAACCATGAAAAGACATCCCTTATGAGGAAGAAGAAAAGGCAAAGGAGGCATACCAGAGGTGGAGGAAGAGCCATCCCTTATGAGGAAGAGGCAGTGGCCTCAAGCTGACAGGGATGAGAGAGAGAGAGAGAGAGAGAGAGAGAGAGAGGATTGTGATAGGAAAGTCAAAAGGAGAAGAAAAAACTAGAGTTGCAAAAAACTGTCAAAAAAATAGAAAAATGAATGGATCAGGGTACCAGGTGATAGGCTTACCATCCGGGATTCCCAGATTTAACCATCAAAACTAGGTGGCATGCCTAGTATGGTAGTCATATAGGCCAGTATACCCAGTTTCAAAACTAGGTGAAATCATCCAATCTGCATGCCAAAACCTGATAAATATCAATCGATACCTACCATTCTGACCATAATCCTGGATGACTATAACCTTCTCATCTCTCATATTTCCCCTCTTTGAGTAAAGTTGCTACAAGTCTGGGGACACATGAACAATGATAGATTTGCAACATTTTTCTATTTAAACTCCTTATTGTTAACTGAGCAACCAATAAGTTCAAAACAACTTTTTTGTGCATCCTTTGCAAACAAAATCAACTCATGTCATTTACACACACACACATTTGACAAGGATTTTAGAAAAATGCCAGTATATAGTGAACAATGTAAAAATATAGTTCATAAAAGGTACTACAAGTCTAATCAACAAGAATACTTTTCTTTTATCATTTTGACAACAAGCAAAGTTAACATCACATTAAAAATTTAACATGATTCTTGTCATACTACATTTTCTTCAGAGTGTGAAGAATATTCATTTAGAAGTTGGAAGTTGACACACCTGCACATTACCTTTTCTAGGTACAAAAATTTAAATATTATCAATTTAAAACAGAAAGAACTAAAGCATAAAAATGAATACTTCCCAAGCTTTTACATAATCCAAAGGCTATAACTAGATTGGAGAATTGGAAAAAGAATTAATAGATGTTACATATGAGAAAGATACAAAAGCAAGCACCTGACAAAAACTATTTATTTGTAAAGTAGACCCAAAAGAGTAGACACCACTAACAGGCAGCAGAAAATATCCAGATTAGCTTACTTGGCTTACAACATAGTTTTATCAAAAGCAGACTATGGAAAAAACAGGCTTATCAATGAACATGATCAACGAGAGTATACACATGAGCTATCTCATACAAGGACTTAAATATTGGCCCAGTTTCAATGACATCGGACTGATACGATACTAGCATACCAGATGGTATACTGACCTGAATCATCCAGTATTAGTGAATAAAATAATACAAATAAAGGACAAATTCTCAGAAAAAGCTATTTTTTTTGCAAGAAGTGCCTCCCATTTCCAAAATTCCCAGACAGTGTCCCTTTTTACTAATGCCTGAAATACTCCCAGCCACCTACCCCTTTTCCCTCCTTTTTCTCTCCTTTTTACACCGCATTACAATGTTCTCAGCAATACTAGAAAAGCACTATAATGCAGTATAAAAACATTGTAATTTGAGCAATACTAGAAGAACACTGTAATGTAATAAAAATCATTGTGTTATAGTGTTTTTACACTGCATCGAAGTGTTTTTATACTGCATTAAAGTATTTTCCTAGTATTGCTGAAAACAAAAACAGTGTGCTACAATGTTTTTGTATTGTGTTATAGTATTTTCCTAGTATTGTTGAAAACATTGTAACACAGTGTAAAAACACTATAAACACAATGTTTTTATAAAATGTACAAAAAAACTGTGATATAATATTTTTATATTGAATTACGATTTTTTTTTAGTATTACTGAAAACATTGTAACTGGAGCAGTTTGCCCTATGGACTGGTCGAAAGGGAAGAAAAAAGAATATTCCAAGTAATAGCCAAAAAAGGGACAGTATTTGGGAATTTTGGAAACAGGGGGCGTTTCTCGAGAAAACCTAAAAGGAGAAGCTTCTTTCAGGAATTTGCCCAAAAATAAAACTATATTGATATGTATTACATTTTTCTATTGATGCTTAGTTAATTCAGGAAATACTGATGGTACATACCAATACAACCAGTATTTAAAATATTGATAATTACAGCAAGTTCAGTAATAATTTCTTCTAGTTGCAAACCTCTTCTTTGTTCCTAATCTGTAAACTATAATCAACATAATTTTGGTAAATCAAGCAAAATTATATCCCACATCTATGAAGATGGCAAAGAAGTTACCTTCCAGTCAGAGTATACAAGAGTCTCGTTAAGGTCTAGAACAAGAGTGAAAACATGTTGTTCTTGAGGATGTAGATCAGGAAGCAGCTTCTCTGATGATGGTTCAGTAAATCCCTAAAACCAACAGAAATACACAACTGCAACTAAATGAAGCAGCTATAACAACATGAAATTGCTACTAATAATAAGCAATGAGTATTTACAAACCCGAACATGATCTTCAATTGCCCTCCTAAGATCCAGGTACAGCTCAAGTGCTTTGACAGGAACTATTCCAAGAAAAAATTGCAATAAAAGAAAATGAATTAAAGCCACAACTAACAAGGTAGCAAACAAGTCACAAATAGGTACAAAAGACAACAACATAGAATTAATAAGCATAAACTATATATATAATTCATTGACTAAGCACCAACTAGATCAAGAAACAAATTTTAGAAATTAATTAAATAAAAAGAAACATTGCAAACAAAATAAAAAAGATCATCATAATAATCAATACAGAATGGCAAGTGTCATGCTATACCTCATTGTGCTATAACAAGTACAGACCATTTTTTCAGCTTGTGCCACCTATCACAACAGTTGGGCCAACTGATGTAGAACTATCAGTACAATACCCAAAAGATAAGGGCACGACCTTATACCACAAAAAGGAAATCCTTGTAGAAACAATATTATGATTTAATGGCTGTAATTATAGTAAATTTTAATATTCTAATGTAAATTTAATTATATCCTTGTCAAACAACCCAAATTTAAATTCATAAAGTATTTTCAAATTTTAACTGGATAGGATCCTATCCTCAAAGTATCTTAACAGAGAGAGAGAGAGAGAAAGAGAGAGAGAGAGAGAGAGAGAGAGAGAGAGAGAGAGAGAGAGTAGGTTTAGGATCATCTCCTCAGTTTTTTGTTCAATTGGATCCTCCAATTCTCACATGTCAACTACCCATCAATAGGAGACCTACCTACCAACCATAGGGTTGAAGCTCCTGTTTCTAATATGAAAGTACCAATTATAATTTCAGCTGTACAATAATTAAAGAAGAGCCAACCAATTCCTAGACCTTTGTGTACAGGCCCTTGTCCTCATGTCAATGCACAAAGGATGCACCTCAACACACACCAAACTCCAGTTGACTCAGCTATACTTGGCCTAAATTGGACAGACTTGGTAGGACTTGACTTAATTTGGTCAAGCTGGGACAAATTGACCAATTCCAACATATTTCAACCAGGCCATTGTCGTCTTAAGGAAGAAGAAAAAGAAAAGAAGCAAAAAAAAGCTGAGACTATAACACAGACCAAATTTCCATGACCACAAAATTAATCATCTCAAAACTATTGAGCACAATAAGTAGTCATTAAATGTCCACAAGATCCAATAGCAATGAAGAAACATATATAATAATGAGTCATCGATACTATTCACACAAAATAAATTGATCCTTCACCTGATACCACACAAAAAAGGGTTAGCAAGATCCAGGCCTGTCCAAGGAGAAATGGAGAGGAAGAAGAGATGTATGGAAGAAGAAAGGAAAGAGGAACAAAGGAGAGGAATAGGTTTCACTCAAAAGCTTGTCTAGCAAGCTTTCTTCACCTGCAGACAGCAAGTGGGCAATAATCCACGGATTTAATAAAAATTGGAAGCCATAGAGTCTGATAAGAGGAATATGTTCTGACGATTCAAAATTCATATTGTACAAATCATTGCCCACATGTCCAATAAGCTAGTTTTATCAATTACTTAAAAGCAGTGTATGCAATTTCGAATGGTATACCGCTTGGTACGCCGGTACCGTACCATACCGAGCCAACCTCGAAACACCGGTACGGTACGATATTGCATACCTTGCTTAAAAGACAGCTTGAACTCACCCTCTGACTAATATATCTATTTTCTTTCAATCAGGAAAGATTAGAAAATAAAAAACTTCCATTTTATAGGTAACTAAACATTTCCACTGTGTGGATAAATGTCATGAAAGTCTTCATTAGTAGAAAAGGAATTTATAACTTGTAATTTGTAAAAAGCAATTAAAGCTTTAAGCAACAAATGCTTCAGAGCCTTTACCTTTCATGACTGTGGAATAAACCAAATTGTTATATTTCTGTAAGAAAGAAAAGGAAAAGGAACTCTAAATTAACAATATAATTCACTGACAAATAATATATAATGGCAAAAGAACAATAGAATAATGTCATATTTGTTCATTATCACCAAAACATCAAAAGAGAAAGCAAAGGAATAGATATATTACATTTTCTTATCTTCGTGTAGGCAAAATGGTAATTATTACTATAAAAAATCTGGCAGATCCATCACAATAAAACATCCAAATTGAACACGGAATCCACATCATGAAACAATAAAATTCAGTAACAGAAAACGAATGAACATCCATCACATGGTTTTTAAAACATGGTTAAGTTGATCACTGTAATACAAACTTCCTTTTATTTGAGACTGTTAGTTCCTCGTTTTTCTCTTTGCACCTTCACTAAACAGAATGGAATGGCATATTACAGTGCCTTTAAGATATCTTAATTAAGTTCCTCGAAGGGCAAGAAATAGCCTCACTTACATAGCTAATGCCTAATTTTATTTACATGTGACCTACTAATTGGGGTACAGAAATCTATATTGTCATACTTCTCTATGTCAAAATAAAAAGCAAAGCAACAAGGTTATTCAATTGCCTTAACGGGCACATATGCACTTCTTATATCCCTAACTTCTTAAGTAGGTGCCATACTGTTAAGAATTTTACAATCAATAAGTGATACCAACTGTGTGATGGTACATTATGTGAGAATAAACTTCTTACAAGAAGTCAAAACTATAAATATCTAATAAATATTGTTTTTTCTTTGTCATTTTCATGTAAAAAATGTGAGTTCAAATAACATAATTCAATCATTTTCGATTAAATTGTTGGAGAAATCATGTAAAGAGTAATGTAACTTCCTTTATATTTCAAAACTACAAGAAAACTCATGAATCCAGTGTATTTAATTTTTATCACTATCATCTGTGATGTATGACAAAAGCCAAAAAATTTTAGTCCTTGACTAAAAATTAGGCATGAGTGTATATTTTTCAGCAGTCACTGCTTCACATTTTCACATTAAACCTAATTAATTTAAGCTGTTAATTTACTTCAATGTTTTTTCTTTTACCTTAACTACAAAATGGGACATAAATGGATCTAGGAAGAGAAAGCTTGCCTTCTCTTTCACATTTATTGTTGAAGCAAACAATAGGAGAATAAAGTTGCTTTGATTTGATCAACCCTGAAACTCAATCCCACACTAAAGACTAAAGGAAATGTTTCAACAAGCTCAAATACAATATTACGTCCACAATCGAGTACTTTTAACAATTAGACACACTTAAATGTACCCTAGGTAATATTACTATTTTTTTTTTTAAAAGAGCTCTGATCATGTGCAAGCTTCACTGCCGTGGAATCTAATTTAACAAAAAGCTTGGATTTAGTACAACACCCCTAAAAGAAACTCCCAACTGCAATGAAAAGCAAGCAACATGAAGATTCATGTGCTTAGCCTGGACAATAAACATTTCACGAAAGGTATAAATTTGGTCTATAGAACTTTAATAAAACCACTAACCAAATTTTCCATAAATTGCATCTCCTGAAACTTTTATGGCATCGATTTAGATAACCTTGTACTCTACACTTTATAAATACACTGTTGGGCATTTGAAAACCCTAAGACTTATGATTTCCACCATGTCAAGAAGTTAAAAGAACACACAGATCTGTGGGATGTATACATCCAAACAAACTCCATTCAGGATATCAGAAAATACTTTTTAGTCAAAGAGAGATCCTAGTTAAAGGAAATTATACGCAGCACAAGTGTTTAGTTTTTTCCCTTGAACTATTCCTCCTATTTCTGGGAAAAAATAAGACTTACTTGGAAACTAGATGTGTCATCTCTTACTGGGCCTTTAGTCATTTCCCGCAAAACCTTTGCCTTCTCTTCCACCTCATCTACCGTATATGCTGTGCAAAAAATGGAATGGAAATAACATATAATAACCAGTAAAAAAATAGTTCATCAAATTTACGATACACAACCAAAATCAAGAACAAGTGATATGCAGAAAACAAATATACGTTTCGAACAGACAATAGGATTATGCAAAACAACATCTGGCTTTGCTCTTTGTTAGTTGCGATCAACAAACTTTAGCATATAACATAATTTTGCTGGTAAAAACCAGACATCAGATACTACACATGTCCGCATTATATAACTGAACGAAGCAATTCTGATAAATAATTGTGCATTCTCCATGAAAATTTACCATTTTCTAGTCTGTACGTAAAATGACGAAAATTTAGCGAAAGAAACACAGACAGAAATATCAGATTTTTAATGTGGCTTTCTTCCACAATGTTCAGATCCTTCCCTCAAAGCACAAAAGAATCAAATGGAGCATCGATTATAATTCGACCAAAAGAACAAAGATAATAGGGCTAAAGCGGGGGGAGGAAAGGGGAGGGGAAGGAGAATAGGGAGAACCGTAAGTTGCGTAGGCAGTGGTTCCGACTGCGGCGGTGACAGCGGCGAGAGATCCAAGCTTGAGAAGGCTCCAGGATCGCCGGGCGGTGGAAGAAGGGGGAGGCGGTGGGGAAGGGGGAGAAGAGGACTCGTCGTTGAGGAGGGCGTCCGAGGACACGATGGGCTCCTTGGGAGGAGCCGCGGAGACGCTAAGAGCTCTGCGCTCGCTCCTCTGCTTCGCAAGAAGACGGACAAGGCGGGATCGGACGAGCCGAGAAGACATGGCAGTGGAGTCGAAGACGAAGGCCCTCGAGCAAGAAGAAGGGGTTTGGACGGGTTTACCATTCGAGCCTGCTATTGGAAGTAAAAAACCACTAGGATTTTGTAGCACGTGAGTTACACGTGATTTACCAGATGGGTCTTCCAAGTTGACCCTCCAGCAAATTTGGTCAAAATTCAGTCCAATTTTAGATTTATTGTTCGTCCAACAACCTTTATTTGTAGATGAGTTCTCGCTTATTGTTCGACAAGCATTCTTTCAGGGATCTCTTACTGATTTAGATATGGGTTAATTATAGATTAATCTTATAATTAATTTTTTTTTATTTCGATCTTTGTACTTTTAAAAATTACATTGACAATCCAGTACTTACGAAAGTGAATCATTTAATATCATTTCTCTTTATGTCATCCATTCTAACGATAAAATACCATACATGCTTGGTAATAAATCGAAGTAAAATATAGTTAGTACATGCTCAATGATAAACCCTTGTAGTATTTTTCGTTAGTCGAGTTAATAACGTAAAGAGAAATAAGATTAAATATTTTATTTTTATTAGTATAATAGAATCAAGATATTAAAAGTAACTAACTATGTGGAATAATTAATAGTTAGCTCTTTAGATATTGGTAACCAAATATCCAAGACTATGATCGAGATAATCATTAGTGTCTAACAAGTTGTTTTACTATAGTTAGTATCATGTTAATATGATTGATTCTAAGAGCATAGATCGGTGATCATTAATTATGAGCTAACTATATATTTTCTCCTATAATTAGCTACCTTTAGCATTTCGATCCTCATACTTTAAAAAGTTACATTGACATCCCTGTAGTTACGAAAGTGAAACGATTAGGTCCATTTATCATAATGACATTAGTTTTTATCGATGTAAATATGAAAATAAATGATAAAAATGTAATTTTAAGTTCGATGGTGGACAACATCGATGGTGGATGATAGTGCCGCTGGCTTCAGTGGTGACAGACGACAACACTACTGGCATCGTTGGTGGCGAACCCCTCCCCCTCCCCCCTCGTCCTTGCATTGAGTGATCGTCACCCTCCACCTCCTCGACCACTTCCTTGATGTTGTCCCCTTCGTCTCCCCCCTCGTCCTCCTCTTCTTCTCCACCCTTGCCCATGGTGTCAAGCATGCATGTTTGTCACCTTTCCCACAACAACTTTGTCATCACTCTCATCCATACCCTCTCTTTCTTCTGCCCCGTTGTCATCTCTTGGTCTCATTCCGTCACTTGCCCTCCTCTCCGACTTCTTTATCGGCAAGACCCACCATCTCATCGTTGACCTCAGCAATTCCCTCATCTTGCTCAAGTTCGAAGCTCCGCTTCACAGATGACATACACATGACCATGTTCCGCCACATCAAGTAGGCAGCGTCGTTGTCTCCCACTCAACATCACACCAATATATTCGTGATCGGTGCTAGGAATGTGGGCATAGCCATTGCCTAGACAATCCTGACAAATAAGCTAGCGATGGTGGATGCCAAACTTATCCAGCTATAGGAGGAGATGCTAGACCTGTAGCAAGCCGCAACCTTTCTCCCACGCACTCGGATCCTCGTGTCTCTAGACTATACGATAATGAAAAATTCGGACATCTACATCATCACAGTCGACGCTTGGCAAATCCCGAGGGAGATGCAACTGAACCTGCTATAGCACAATTGGGAGATGGTGACATCACCTACCGGATGGGGTAGAAGCAGAGCTCTAAGCTTGAGTAGGACGTGTGGTGTGCCGAGGTTGGTGGCAAGATGGTGGGTCTAGCTGATGACGAAGTCAGAGAGGAGGGCAGGTAAGTGAATGGGACCAAGAGACAATAACAGGGTAAAGGGAGGAGAGGGCATGAATAAGGGTGGCGACGAAGTTGCCATGGGAAATGTGGCTGACATGCTTGACGCGGGGGGCAAGGGTGGAGAAGAAGGGGAGGATGAGGAGGGAGGCAGAGGGGGTAGTGGCGAGAAACTAGTTGAGGAGGCTGAGGGCAACGACCGCTTAACGTCGGGATGAGGGGGGTGGGGAAGGGGTCCACCACCACTGACACTAGCAGCACTATCGTCTGTCACCACCAATGCCAACGATGCTATTGTCAACCATCGACACTGTCCACAAGTGAACTTAAAATTATTTTTTTATCTTTTATTTTTATGTTTATATCGATAAAAACTAACGTTGTTATAATAAATAGATATAATCATTTTACTTTCATAATTATAGAAATACCAATATAACTTTTTAAAGTATAAGAGTCGAGATGCTAAATACATCTAACTACATGAAGTAAAATATAATTAGACCCATTGATTACACACATAATTTTATGAATTATATATATACATATATATAAGTTTGTGGGTATTTGTGGATTGCACGAATAAAGCTAGATATAAAATCTTCAATGTTAACATCCACGTCATGTTGCTTTGTTTTGTTAGAAAATAAACAAGATTGTATTAAATAGGGTCAATATGATAGGTTGCAAATTTACAGAGGTTTATGGTATTGAGTATGTCGAGAAATGATAGGCGTGAAAAGATTTATTAGTTGTGAGAGGACTCTCCTCCCTCATGCTTTCTATAATAACTTGAAATATGTCTTAAAAATCTAGATGTCAACCTTGTGAATATCTTAACGAGTACTTGAATGTGTCTCCCCTTCATCACCCTATTCATTAATTAATCCCCATAATTTTCTTATAAAAAAGGTTTGGTGAAAATAATTATTTATAATGTTGGATTGTTTGTTAATCTATAAGTCTTCATTGGATCAAATAATATGATTTTGACGATAGGCTATTTAGAAGAAAGAGAAGAGGAAAAGGTAGAAAGGTAGTTCTTAGGCTCACTCCATATTATTTGACTCATATAGGAGCAAAACTCATAGCCTCATACCACTCAATCATTCATTCAAGAAAATATGATATCATTTATAATTCCTTTGTCCCTTTTTTAAGGCTCAAGTATAAGAAAGATAAAAAAAATAATTAGAAAGAAAATATAATTATATCAAACTTAATCAACTAAATTATTTTTTTTATTTTAAAAATATTATTAATAATATTATCAGCAAAGATGAATAATACTTATTCACTTTGCTTTAATCTCTTCCCGATCTTTGTTGCTTATTTTTTCTGGTTTGTCTACTCATTTCTTTCAAGCTTTTATTAGGTCTTGTTGAATAAGAAGATCCTTCACCCTCCTTTGTCATAGAGTAAAATTATTTTTTTCATCAAATTTTTTTACGGTAAAGCTAGTAGAAACAACCAATGACACGCTTATTGAATTTCTAGTCATTGGATCTTTTGGACCCTAATACCATTTTGTTAGGAATAAAAAGAAAAAATTTAAAATATAAAATATAAAAATAAATAATCAAGAACATACCAAAAAGCTGATGTAAGATTTAATGTGGTTCGTCAACTCTCATCTATATCTATAGAGAAAATTAAATTTCTTAATATATGAGATCAATTACAAGATGTTGAGTTATCTTCACCTAAATATGACTCTCCTTGTATTTATATTTATAGGAATGAACTCTAATTTACCAAGGAGTTTCAATTTAATTACTGACTCTCTCATCTAATTTGAATATAATTAGAATCTCTATAAATATTTACCAATCTTAAAGTATTTGAGAAACATCTTTCAATACTCTAATTTACCATGGAGTTTCAATTTAATTAAGACTCTCTCATCTAATTTGAATATAATTAGAATCTCTATAAATATTTACCAGTCTTAAAGTAAGTATTTGAGAAACATCTTTCAATACAAAGGATACAGAGAATTTCATTTGACCATACACTATGATCCCAAGCACCTGCCTCCCTCTAAGTAGACACAACGCAACTAAAGGAGAGAGAGAGAGAGAGAGAGTGAGAGAGAATGGAAGTAAGAAGTATTTTTCCTTTTGTTTCATAAGAGAGAGAGAGAGAGAGAGAG